GTTACTAACCTTCTTTATAGTATTTCATCTTTCTTCATTGCCTAGTTTCTTGGATATTAATATCTGGAAATAATTTGATTAATAATAGGAGTAATAACATTTGAACCAGCGTGACGGCAGGCTTCTTAATTATGTTTATTATGGCAACGTGCATTAATCACCCAGGCCATGCCATTCCTCAATCGGCAAATCTAATTGAACGTTAGCAAAGACATTAGATATGGAGACCTTAAGTGAAACCGTACTACGAGATATATAGTGCAGAACGGAAATCGGACTGAAGGCCAGCCAGGAGGTGACTAAATATTGGGACACGAAGGATAAGAACGCATTGCCTTGAGAAGGCCCTTCATGACAGCAGAGCCTGACTACTTTCTAACGGCGTTGTTGGTCAAAACTAGCATTGCCATGTAACGCGTTACTGATTATAACCTAAATACCGAAAAAGCGGAATCTGCGTTTTCCTCGAATCGAATCCCGACCAGTTGTAAATATGTGTGGGGTATTCCACCTGCAATTTATGAAATTTTGTTCAACGAAATACCTGCCTAAAGCATACGATCGCCACGGACGAAACAATTCAACCTCTACTTCCAGCCAAAAAGCGCACAGGCGAAAGAATGGCCTCTCTTGAAAGAGAAATCGATTGAAGTAATAACGTCGAGTAGGTTCGAACGTAAGATGATAGTAGTATTTAGGTAAGCGTAAGTACGCGGACATCTGCTATAATGAGACACTCGCTGAAAATGAAACATCGAATGCAGCCCACTTTCTCGCGTTTTTCAAGAGACCCATGTACTGTTGGCACGGTCCGAGCCGTCGGGTGCAGTAACCAGCAGTCTGGTTATTTAATGGCGACACCAGACATTATGGCCGTGATTTCGTTACTTTTTGGTCTAAGGCAAAGAATATGCAACGTTGGTTTCAATCCGCCTATTTTTCCGGTCTATGTCCGTTTGATTACGGAGTATTCTGCTAGGCAGGCACATACCACTATCGATTTACTTGAAGAAATCGAAGATAGAGAAATCTTGGTGTTGGGAACCTTGTAATACCAATAATGGCGTATATAAGGCAACAGCAAACGTTCGAGGCCTCATATACCTTGGCATAAGATCTAAGATTAATACTGAACCTGGCTATTATTAAGTCACATATGAAAGATACTAAAGCCTAATATAAACACGGTGTATTGAGTTAAATACTAACAAAACCTGCCAGGGAGGTTTATTATAATAAAGAAATGATAGGAAATAGATCAGTCCTGCGTGTTCTTATCTGTGAAAGTACGCGCCAGAAAGACCTCAATAGATTAACCAGCGGCATTTAATACTGTGACGTCCGGAACTCAGAGCAACAATAGCTCGTCCGATTCCAACCACTCCCTCAAGATCCACCATATGTATTAAATTAAATAGTAATTGTAGAATACAGTTTTGTTACTTGCTCTATGTATGTGAAGGGGAAATACTGCCAGTTTTTTGATGTACCGCTCACTACTCGAGTGTTCAGTGCCGAATGGTTTTTTTTGCACAGTCTGATTTTTTGGTTTCGTTTGTTTTAAAAGTGTAATGCCTTTTGTCGGAACAGCGTGCGAAAGCCTGAAGTCAACAGATCGATAAGTCGGAAGTGATCATACATTTCTCCGTCATAGGGTACGCATAAAGACCCAAACCTATCGATGACTTCGTATGACTAAAGATCATCTCCCTGTCAATAGCGTTGTCTAAGTGCGTAGGAACTGCACGCATATACAGAGCACTGTTTTTGTTGTGATCATTCTAAAAATATTTGCCAGCTATTTGGAAAATATCCAAACCAAACGAAATATACGAGGACCAAATAGTTCTAGGTATATCTATAAATCGTTCAGTTTCTATGTTTCGAGCTTTACGTCCGGTATTGACGTTAGGCGTTCCATCAGGCGCCTGGCTCCTAGCATGAGATGAAGTGTGTCTATGCCCGGGGTTAGAACCTAGACCATAACGTGTCCCAAATACGTTACCAATTACAGAGACATATCTCTCTCTATTGAACTGTCTCTATTGATCATGGACGCTTTCGATCTGATCGAAATGTTTGCCGAGTTTGTCAGATGCAAATGTTGTGAAGCATAACTGTATGTGTTCATGTGAGTTCTTGCCTAAAGGGGTTATGCTGAAATTACTCTGAGGGTAAACTACGTACTTTAATATGTCGATAACGTTAAAGCTTGACTCATAATAGATACGCGAAAATTTCGTTATTAGGTATTTTTTTCCAGTTACAATTATACATAAGCGGCCCTAAGTAAAACTTCAACGGAAACGTAATAGCCTTTTCGTAAAAACGTAAACATACCTCGGTTCATGCTGGTCGAGGAAGTTCACAACATTTATTCTGTATTCTACCTCATTAGAATGTATGCTTGCTGACGCTTTCTTTTTCATTAATTAACGTCCCCTTCGAAGGAAGCCTTAATCACAGCCCAATAGTCCACTTCTAAATGTGCTTTACTCTCTGCAAGCGGTGAGTATTCGTATGAACGCGATATACCTTCTTTAATCGGTCATTATACTTGCCGCCATGACTAATCTCCTATGAAGTCGTCACAGGGTGTCACATGCATCGGCAATGCACACAAACGAATCTTAGCTAGACCCTATATCGCCGAAGCAGCACAAAGATATAACTGCGACAACTCGACGTTTTGTGTCACGGCCCTTGGTCAAGACGGGTGGATAAATCAACCACTCTTTGCCCGTTTCTATATCTAGGAAGCTCAAAGCGTGGTTGTTGGTCGACGCCGCTGAGCTGTCGAGAGATCAAACTAGTTGAGGAACTCCGCGACGTTCGTGGAGAGTAAAGAGTAGAAATTATTTCTAAGAATATAGAAAAATTCGAGTATTTCATTGATTGCTATATTAGTACATGTATATGAATATATTCTTTATTTGTGGGTGAGAAGAATCATATTATGCCTTTTTTTTTCGATCTTTCGAGCATTAACGATCAGATTTAATTTATGCGAATCTGTAACGCACGCTGATTCGGCCCCATAGCCGGATTTACATTGCAGCGTACCCGTATTTACACCAAACACACTACTCAAACTTTAAACCTTTGAAACGATGTTGATGTCAAACAGAGATAAAATTAATATAATTGTTTTTTTTTTTTTATCACACAGGTCATTCTGTTGGCTGGACTTGAGCCAGTGATCCCTGCGAGATGAAAATATTCGTGTATATTAGCACACAGTAACACTGAAACATTCATCATACTTTTTCAACGATACATATTTGCTTGTCGGAATTTTTCAGACGCGCTATATTCTATGGTAGAATTCCTCTATACAGTCATTCATACACTGAGCATTACGGGGTCTCGTTTTTCTCATATTTGAAGCTTCCCGGCAGTGGCTGCCCTAAGTGGGTCATCAGCTTCAACACTCGAACCGGGTCCAATCTTCGTGACGGCAGCAGCAAGGTCTGCCTATATAACCAACAGTGTCAACAACTACTAGAGCAAGTCACTATAACTTTGAGATACGATCGTGCCTGTCTGTCTGAGGGGGGAAAGACCGGCCACCGAAAGCCGCTCGCATAAGGCACATGCAAGGAAAACCTTTGAAGTAATAAGTAAGGCCACTTCTGCAGAACACCTAGACTTACTGTGCCTCTGTGATAGCTATCTCGGACCTAAGGAATGCGCACGGCTCATATAACATTGTAGATATAGCTTTTTTTTCCCTTTGACTTTTACTGTCTACGCGGGCGCCCGTGAGGAGCATGAATTTTTTAACATCTTTAGCAATCAAAAGATATGTGCACGTATAAATACGGTGTCAGAATGGCAAGACGCCAAGCTAAATACATGAATGCTGCGTCTTATAAAAAGTGTGTCCGTAATGTATATAATATTTTTATTTAGATGACTACGGCTTACGGCATGAAAAACCCAATAGGTCGGAGGCGGCCGAATCAACGGGGATGGAGTTGTAAGGGATTATCCATCTTCAATCTACAATCTAAACATGCTCGAAAAAATGAAGGAAAGCAAATCGATAGAGGGAAAGGCTATCTGAATTAAAATAATAAATGGTAAGCCCGGGTCTGGTGGCATGTGGCAAAAACATTTTATGTGGTGGTAGTATAATTTTGAGTTCCCCTGTGAACTGATGACACTTTTTCTGGGCCGAAGAATGTGTAAAACCCTCACATCATACGCGCTCTTATTGCTAGTTAATTATATATATAAAATATATATATATGTATAGTTAGCATAATTAGTTATTGCTGAGTGGTCAATACACAAAACAAAGTCGGTTACGGGCAAACTCCCGCCAGACTCTTGCAACAATTTAGGTTGGAATGATCATAGTCTTCATCTCTATTTCCCGATAATTGTCTGAACGCGATCTTTTCCGATTTACGTTAGTTGGGTAGTCCAAGAGGTATCGAGTATGTCAAGCTTTCCATGAAGTTCCTCCATATACAGACGCATCTGTTTAAGGTAAAGCGGCCGTGATCAGAAAAAAAAAAAAAGCGTACGGATAGCTGGGCCCACAACTGTCTTAGTTCAAAAGAGGAAGAAGACTAATAACAGCAGGCCAGTTATGCTACTAGGCGACATTTACATGACTCTGTGCTGTACCCACTGGGGTGGAGGCTAGCCATAATTCACTTAGCTTGAACTGCCCTAAGCGCGATTACTCTAAAGCTTTTGCCTTCTACAAACAGCGTTTTAAAGACTGACAAGGTTATGGATGTACATAGTCGGTTCAGGCAGCGGGGCGGACAGCATTTCCAGAGTTGTTTCATTGAGATAGAAATTCTTCTGTAAGATGCATTATATACGCGAGTATGCGTCTCGTAGACACTGACAAACGCGCATATGCACACACACAAAGGCGGAACGCCCTTACATGCGTCTCTGACACACACACAAAATAGTTTATGAAGTATAGAGGCACATATACTGGCTAGCTAATATGTGGGATATAACAAGTGTACACTCACACTGGGTTTGTTCACAAGCGATTGATCACGCTTTGATGGAAGTCGCGTTTCGGGTTGTATTTACTGCTGCTGCTGCTGCTGCTGCTGCTGAGAAAATCACAAAGAAATACACTCGATATATAACTGTAGCAGTCGATAAGCTGGGAGATATTCCCTTATAAATCGACGGGTTAACGCACTTTTAGTTGCGCGCTTAACCTCGTGAATTCAATAAAACCGTACGCTTTCATAAACTTGTTTGATACCGAATGTCGACTAGGCCCTTGCCAAGAGAGGCAAGAAGGACAAGGTCTTTTCACGTCCATTAGTTTTACACTAAAGCTTTACTCGTCTCGACTCAGCGATATACTTCGTAAGCGTATGAGCTTTGCCAACGATGCGACAAGCCTCTACAATGACAATAACTACTGTGTTGTTCTATATATATATAGATCGACAAGCTCACGCCATTATCTAGTCTGGTACTAACTGTCTAACATTGCACAGATGAAAATCAGGGTAGAAATCTAAGTTTCTTAAACCAACAACCTTTTCAACTCTGTTTCCTATTACGTAGTTCACGGCGTAGCGGTTCGCGACTGTCCAAAACATTAATAAAAGTAGTGATGATATGTTTACATCGTATTTATTCTGCATAGACATCGAAGTGGCTGTCTATCACCATAATGTTTGTCGTACACAGAAAATAAAAAAAACTGCATCGTTAGAAAATACTGAAATATCTTAATCTTAAAAAATGACCAGTGTTGGACTATTTTAGGGCCAATGCATGCGTGATTATTGTTATCTCTATATAATTGAGCTCAACGAGTTAACTATTATTGTGCTCAATAAAGAAGGTTAGTATTCTTCAACGAATACCTCACGTAGGATACGAAAAAAAATATCCGAGACTCGTCTCCCTTCCGCGCGATTTCGTTCCTTGTTACGTCTAAAAATACCGGACTATATAATGATGGAAAACCTGTAAGCACGTCGTCACTCAATGGCAATAACAGTAGCAACTGGTGACCGTTGAACGAGACAGATGCATCAAAGCATTTCGGATAACTATTTTAGTGTTAGAGCACCCTGCTACCGAATCACCCCTTGGTTAAGGTACAGAGCGTGGTAAAATCGCGTAGACGGCCTTCTTAGCCGGAAGCGGCTGCAGCCATCTTGAAAACCCGACAGGCCGTCTGAGAAGAGAGATTTATTCACCACACCCAATGACGAACACCGACAAATTCATCTATATTATAGCTTATTTATAGGCACGCACCTCTCAAATCAGCTATGCGTATGTGGTATGATTTTCTGTTATGTAGTGTGTCCTGTACGGCCTGTGTGTTTGCTATATGAGCGTATCTTTATCGAGACCGAGTAGAGTTTTTTTTTTTTTGAAAAGCGGAACGAGGCCAATGCAAATGCCAATCTGTAGCAGACGGTAAACGACCTTTTGATGATGTAGATGCGACGAAGGTAAAATATCGTCTTTTCAAAGATTACTAAACATTACTTCGTCGAAGAGCCGATCGTAAATGTATTGTAACGCTGCTGATTTCCAATTGCTCATTGATACTATAACCGAATCGCAAAGGCAAAAAAACATCATTTTTGTTCTTCGAAACAGAAACAGGTGAACTTAACGTTATCAATGCACTTTTATCATGCTCTCGGCTACATAGCCTAAAACTCAAAAAAATATGCGGTATTTCCTCATTCTTCAACGATATATGTAGCGTGTGGTAATTTTTTTTTACCGGGTGGTACCAATATTGATTTCTTAGGCCAATTGAATTATTGAATTAACGAAAATTCTTATACTGGTTCAGTATCGAATGAGACTTGATATCCCATAATCATCTACGCCGTCCTATTTTAGATAACTGGTCATCTGAACAGAGTATGATCACATTGATTGCTATTAAAGCTTTTTCGTCGTTGTTGATCTCATCATTTATCGCTGATTAGACGAAGAACTGACTGGCATGAGGTAGACGGAATTATACTATATAGTTTTGTGTAATGTATATACTATAGAGTTTTAGATCTAGATTGTGGCTTTTCACTGATCTCGGTCTCTGAGAGTCGTAGATCTGTATGACGAAACAGTGAATGGAAGGAACTCGACCGGTACGCCTACGGAAACGCGCGGCTTCTTCTCATTCCCAATGATAACAATGTGTTTCAGTTGGGCGGAAGCGTTCCTAAACTGCCATGAAATGTTTTTTTTCTTTTGTTATGAGATCGTACATTTCCTTGTGAGTGGGTGTTAGCATCGATAGGGCCAGTAAACGCCCATCGCCTTCGAGTCAAAAGTAGAGCTAGAACATCGGTTCTATCCTCAGTACGCATCAGCGATGGACGATGCACACACACTTCAAGCAACCATTTTTCCGATAAACGCGATTTAAATAAAAATCTTTTGCACCGGTTTAGTGACACAGGATAACTATAACATTATGTACCCCATTATGAAATCTTCGATTGACGAAGTTTTTCAGATATCATACGACTGAATGCCTTACATACGCTTACGAGCTTGGGTCTACCATGTAGCCTTCTGCGGTCAGGAGGTCGTTTATTATAATAAGACAGTTCGAATTTTAGAGGCTACATGGCTATCTTCGCAGCTGGCTATATAGCTGAGATCACTATTTTCATTCATGACCGTTGTCACTACTGCTTAATAGAATTTGAACGCCTCCTGATACACAAATTACTGATTATTTCCCTCTGGTGCAGTAGCGTGCTTCGAACGCCAAATCGGGGTATGATAAATTTATCATCAAACTACATTTAGGTTGCTTGTAGCTAAGAGTAGAGTGAAACAGTCAAACATAATAGTCAGCTTAGTCCAAATATAATAAAGTATGTAGTAAACATTTTACTGATTATAGTTTTGATAAGCAACTTCAACATATGATGATATACGCATACTTCGACTTCAACTCACACAAAACGGCGCCCTGCTTCGGCTAAGATGCTCTACGAAACGGAGAAAATAGGCAGTCATTATTATTAATAATACAGTTATTATATAACGGGCAGTCATTCGATCTTCTCCAGGATCAATCATTAGTGATTTCGTCAGTAATAGTAGCCAATCGAGGGGTATCGGTGTGCAAAAACGATACGATGGACACTAAGTAAAAAAAACCCAAGCAACATTAGCATACAGGGAAGAAAGCAGGGATACAGACAGAATTGGTTTCTGCTGGTTAAAGAGGTTGTCGATAATAACTGAGCAGGGTCGTGACAGATATCGACCCTGCGGTTCCAACCTCATTCAAAATACGTACTCAGCTGAGGTGGTATTAGAAAAAAACCCACGGTATCTGTTGAGGTCATTTTACCTGTGTTGATGCCAAACAGCATGGGAAATGGAGATGGAACTTTGCAAGTTTACCGTTACCAGCTATCCCGTAGGACGAGCAGCTATATACCTAGATGGAAAATATGATACAGTGAAAATTGATCACGAGACAACAATTGGCTTCATCTTACTATCGAACGAAAATTGAGCATTTCAGGCCGCAATAGATTAAATAAAATAAACGAGTGGAGGCAACAGACTTTAGCGTGGCGATAGCATTTTTCAAGTAGCAAAGAATTATCACGTTCAAAATGGCTGTCCTCAAGATATAGCTGTAATTAATCCATAATCTTTCCATCTCGCTAGGCAATAAAGATGGCCCTTTTCGAACCAATCCCATGGTGCTTTTGCCTATAAAGTCATCGAGGACAAATCCCTAACTGGTCAAAGGACATCGCATCCATGTAAACACTACCGTAAATATACACAGTGTTCTTTGTGCCAGCAAAAAAACAACGCGTTTAGCATTCGTGTCGTTGATGTGAACGCGTATATTCTCAAGCTGATATGTTGTGGACCGGAGTCTGAAAAACCCATCCAGCCTGAAGATGCTCCGAACTTATGTAAATAAATAAATTTATAGTGTATTTTGCGCACACGGAAAGTGTAAAATCCCTCATTGCAGTGCTAAATGATGATAGAAGTTATTTATTCGATCGAATAAATATATCTGACATTATACACTATGTGATCGAATTTGTTTATTCAAAAAAGACTATCTAAGGCCTCATTCTAAGTCACTGGTCGTTTCTGTCACTGGTTGGGAAATAACAAAAGTTTCAGCTTGTATGTGCCCTGGCTACCCAGAAAAGTGAGAAGGAATTCTACATAGATATTTTTGCTACTAGAAACTTGGTACTATGTGGAATGGTGGTGGAATGGAGGACAGCAAACAACTACGAAAGCTCTTTCAACCAGACCCTATTTAACAGATATATGGTCTAATTCTATTAAACACACTTTCGTAAATTTGGGACGCTCAATATTGTTACTTATATGTAGATATACGACGTTTGGATAGGCCCGTAACGTGATCAGGTGCCGAAGGCATCGTTTTCGAGCTACGTTTTGACCATTACACTGCTATGTGTTCATTAATATTTTAGAAAATAATTTCGTAAATACTTAAGAAAAGACAACTATCGAAAACTAATAGCAAACATAACAAACAACCGATGATTACGTTCCCTTTTGTCGCCTTATACACTCCAATTTTCTTTTATTTTGTAGATTAAAGTGGCTAAGTTTGTCAGTGTGTTTCAATTTTACATCGCCTATGCCATTGAATACAAACTTAGTACAGAATCTGCCGAAAAATATTGATTCCTTAGAATTGAGTCTAGAATGGCCGTCAGTGTAATTACCATAGTGAGGACTTTTATCCACGTAGCACTTTGTAACGGTTCTTTTGGCGTCTTCATATATAAACCACTGTGCGAGCATAATGATCAGCGCTAAGCATCATTAAACACTTGCATGCTATTCGCTGAGTCAACTTCAGACGAGATCATAATAGTTGTTTTTTTTTTATTGAACCCATATATATTTTTAAGAGTTATTCAAGTTAACCTCACAGTGTTCGAGTTGTATACTGAAGTTGGTTCTCCTTACGGGAGGGAATATTAGTTACAGAAAGGTTAATATGTACTTTTTCCATGCAATCATAACTATAATACTGTCAACAATATCCTGTATGCCTCATTTTCTCATAGACACAAAAAAAATTTCAATAAATGTTCAGATGTTAAAAGAACCTGCAACCTTGAGAATAGTTTTACTAGCTCATAT